TACTCTGCCTCACATGTAGATAAGGCTTCAACTTTTTGTTTCTGTGTGCTCTAAGTGAAGGCTATATCACCAACATAAAACACATATTTACTTGTGTTCTTTCTTTCCTCATGATCATTTTGCCCAATCACTGATAATGAAGGACAAACTCAATGGTGCCACTGATATATCTAAGAATCATCTTCGCTGCAAGCCAATGAGACTCGATCCCTTGGATTCTCCATGAATCTACTCAAGATGCCCACACTATATACAATGTCAGGTCTCGTCACTATCAAGTATCTGAGGCTCCCAATCAAGCTTTTGTACAATGTCGGATCAACCAAATTTCCTTCTCCTTCTTTTGTGAAATGAACTCCAGTTTGTGTTGGTGTTGACACACTATTGCAATTATTCATCATAAACTTCTCAAACAACTCTTTAGCATACCTCTTTTGACATATCCAAATGCCATCATCTTTCTGATGAACTTCTATACCAAAAAATAATGACATGAGGCCAACATCTATCATATCAAATATTCTGAATATAGTTGATTTAAAGTCTGCAATCATTTGCTCATCATCACATGTTATAAGCAAATCATTCACATATAAGCAAATAATTAATTTATTGCCATTTGAGTCTATCTTCATAGACACACCATATTCATAAGGTCACTTAGTGAACCCTTCCTCTCCAAAATGCTTATCAATGTATAAATTCCAAGCCCTCATGGCTTGCTTCAAGCCATACAAAACCTTTTTCAAACAATACACCATATGTTCTTTTCCCTTCACAATAAAATATTCAAGTTGATCTACATATACTTCTTCCTCCAAAACACCATTCAAGAAAGCCGACTTCACATCTAATTGATGAATCTACCATCTATTCATAGCTGTAATAGAGAAACTTAATCTGACTGTATCAAATCTAGCAACCAGTGCAAAAACCTCTTCATAATATATCCCTTGCTTCTGCTTATACCCTTTGAATACAAGTCTAGCCTTTAATTTGTTTACACCTCTTTCAACAATTTTCTTCACTTTGTACACCCACTTGACACCAATGAATTTTTTACCTTTAGGAAGTGATGTCAAACTCCATGTGTCATTTCTCTCAATAGCATCAATCCCCTCTTTCATGGCATCCATCCATCTTTTATCTGCAACTGCTTTATTAAAAGTTAAGGGCTCTTCATCTTTTATCTGCAAATTGAGATAACTCCTCATAATAATTTGTGGTGTCATATATCTCCTGCAAGCTTCTTGTCTTCACATTTTTCATACCATTACTAGATAATTATCCCAATATCACTGTAGTGTGCGGTGGTGTTTGTTGCTCTAAATCTAAGTTTTTTACAACTGTGACATCCTCCTTATTGCCTTTTTCAAGCCAATCCCAAGATAAGCTCTCCTCAAATCTCACATCCCCGCTCACTACCACTTTCTTTGTTGTAGGATTATACAATTTATAGGAAATACTTCCAAAAACTTTCAGTGATTAACAGTAGGCTTATGACCACTCCAAATTTCCAAAGCGGTTTGAGATGGAGAGCTTTTTGATGTGACCAGATTCAATAAATATACAGCACATGACATAGCTTCAGCCCAAAGTAGATTGGGCACTTGCCTCTCTTTCAACATACTCCTAGCCAATCTTATAATGGTTCTATTCAACCTCTCAGCTAGCCCATTTTGTTGTGGTGTGTATCTAATTATTAACTGATGGTGTATCCCATTCTCCTTCAAATAATTTTGCATCTCATGACTAACATATTCTTCACCTCTATGACTCCTCAACATCTTAATAAAATGGTCGCTCTCCTTCTCCATATGTGCTTTGAATATTTTTAAGTATTCAAATACTTGTGACTTCTCTTTCAGAAAATATACCTAGACTTTTCTGCTATAATCATCAATAAATGTGATAAAATAATAATTACCTCCAATAGAAGTAGTGTTCATTGGTCCATATAAATTTGAATGAATAAGCTTCAATGGCTTCAAGACTCTCCATGATTTTCTAACTAAAAATGGTGCTCTGCTCTGCTTTCCTGCAACACATGCTTCACAGATCTTATCTTAAACTTCAATATGTGGATGCCCATCAACTATATTCTTCTGACTCATATAAGAATGTGTCTTGGAACTCAAGTGACCAAATATACAATGCCATAATCTTGAATAATTTTCTATGGAAGTTTTCAAACAATCATTTAAACTGCAAATCATCTTTATGGGATACATTTTATTTGGAGTCACCTTCACCTTGACAATCAAAAATTCATGTTTTTCTTTAATGATACAAGTGTCAAAAGAAAATGTCAACACATATCCCTTTTGATTTAGTTGCCCAACACTAAGCAAATTATGTTTAAGATTTGGAACATAGAAGACATGAGATCTTCTTTTCTCCCTTCCTTATTTACACCAAAATATAACTTTTTCCTTCCACAAATAATTTATTGTCATCTCCCTTGCGTACTTCACTTTGCATTGAATTATCCAAAGTAACAAATAATCTTCTATTGCCAATCATGTGATTACTACAACCACTATCAATAAATCACACATCTCTTGAATCACCAAACTCCTTAATATATGTAAGAAACATTGTGTCTTAACTTTTCTCCACTTCCTTTTCTTGCACCAAATCTGCATTAGCCTCTTCACTCTCCTGCGCCACTTCCAACAAAAATGATAAGTGTGTTCATACCTTTTGCAAAAATGACATTTGATATTGGCAAGGTTGCTTCTTCCTCTACCTCTGAAGCCATGTCCATGACCACGTGCACCTTCTCCATCACCATGAACTCCATCTTGAACTTCACCTCCATCACTTTGTGTAGATTCTCCTCTACCAGCACGACCTCTTCCTTTAGTGCCAAAAGAACCTCTTCCTCTACCAAAAGAGCCTCTTCCTCTACCAAAATCTCTTCCACGGCCATCTCTGAAATTCCCACGCAATGCCACTTGATCAGTTTTGAAGGCTTCCTCAAGTGGTGTCGAATCATATTGCTTCATTCTTAGTTCATGTGATTGAAGATATCCAAGCAACCCTTCAATAGACATTTTTATCTATGTTTTTTACTTATTCTATGGCTACCACCGTGGCTTCAAATTTTTTGGTCAAGCTTCTTAGAATCTTCTTAATAACCCTTTTATCTTCTACAAATTCTTCATTCAACTTCAATTGGTTAACAATAATAATTACCCAATTGAAATATTATTCCACACTTTCTGACTCATTCATCTTCAACATATCAAACTAGCTTCGTAGGATTTGTAAGCGTACCATTTTAACTTTATCATCTCCTTTGTAAGAAGCATGTAGTGTATCACAAGCCTCCTTTGCGGTCTTCGATGTAGAGATCAACTCAAAAATAATTTCAAATATTGCTTAATAGATGAAGAAAATGGCCTTTCGATCCTTCTTTTGATTTTCTTTCAACTCTTGAAGAAGTCTTTGATTCAAATCTCTCTCAACTTCGGGCTCCTGAAAATTGCACTCTACAATCTCCCACAACTCTTGAGATTGATACAACACTCGCATTTGAACACTACAGGAAAATAGCTCATTTCAAACAGAATTTTTGGCGGAAGTAAATTCGTCACAAATTCCGGCGGTTTTTCGACGAAAAAATTTTGACGAATTTCCGACATATTTTTTGACTGGCTTTCCGACGAATTTTTTTTCGAAGGAATTTCCGGTGGATTTCCGACGAATTTCTGACGGAAATTAAAAAAATTAAGTTATATTTTAATAAGTACTTATTGGGCTAGGTTGCCCGAATCTTGCTAAAGGCACAGGTCAGGTTCACGCGGGCTGGGCTGGGCTGGTCCACACGGGGCTGGGCTTGGGCTGGCATAGTGGGTTCCATCGGGCTGGGGCGGGGCAGGGCTGGCGGAGTGGGTTCCACGTGGGCTGGGCGGTCGGGATAGTGCTTAATTATAGTTTTAATTTTTTAAAAATTTTCTTGACATTCCGACGGAAAAAAAGTTCGCCGAAAATATTTTTTCAACGGAAAATCCGTCGGTAAGATGCCAGAAATGTTTCCGGCGAATTATTTTGCACCGGAAGGCCTTTTTCTGACTCGCTTAGAACCGGCGAAAATATTTCTGCCGAAAATCCACCGGAAATGCAAATTTCTGATGGATTTTGGCCATTTTCCGACAAAAATGGCCATCGGAAAATGGCATTTTTCCTGTAGTGGAATACTCCATTGATTGTAGTTCTTCCCCGTGAACTTGGGCAACTGAGGTTACAAATTATTATTGCTTGAACTCGCTGTCATTCTCCAATCGGGCTTTGATACCAATGTTGGAAGCAAAAATAGAACAAAGAAAAATGGTAGAAAAACTCAAAACAAAACTTTTTCTTCACTAGACCTTCACCGGAACGAAAAAACAAAACAGAAAGCCGAAAAAACTAATATCACACACTTATGTCTTTTCACGGGATACATATTTTAAACACAGTAATCAGTTTTTTTTAACTGTTCAAAAATAAAAAATAATTAAATAAAATAAACTAAAAGATGCATCTCTTGATTTGTAAAATTCCAACAATATCATCTTGATCTGATAAAAAATACTCTTAACAATATGTACAAAAAATATATATATTTTAATTATACACTTCCATCTTCTTCAATTTAGGAGAATAGTTGACTCTCGTCTCTTTATTGATATAATAGCTTTATTTCAAATGAATTATGCCTCATAAATTTTATTTAGGCTTTTCATGTAATAAATTTTGATTGAATCTCTATATTAAATATTATATATCGCCTATATTAACGTATTTTTTTAATATCTAAATAAAGTTCATATGAAACATTTATAAAATTAGTGAACTTATATTAGAATAGATGCTGCAAGATATTTGATGCTTCAATAATAAATTATCTATCTCCAAATAGATTCATTAATATTTAATCCCTTTAAAAATGAATTTTCTTCACAGCAATCTTCAATTTTTAACCTTAGTTCTAAAGCCAAAATCACATTTCTTAGAACAACTGGCCTTGCGGGGACAGATCTGCACCATATAAATTACAAACTAAAAAATAAAAAAAATAAAAAAAACGAAAAGGACATGCTCCATCAGCCTAGCCAGATAATTCATGGGCCAGGCCCCTATTTCCCCTCTCCTCATCCTCATAAAGCTGTACAGCTTAATTACCTCTTGTTCTCTCTCTCTCTATCGTGTCTTCGCTTCCCAAATTGCTTATTACAAGATCATTCCCCTCTCTCTCTCTCTCTTTCTCTGTTGCTCGCGCTCATATTATCTCTGGAACCTTTATCCTTTGTTCTTTTGTGAAGCTTCCGGGCAATCGGTTCGCAGAGGAAGTGCTGCTATAACTCTCTCTCTCTCTCTCTCGATGTCTCTTGTCTGAGCTTAGCACTATATTGCCTCAGGCCCAAACGGAAAGAGCAGCCGAATTTACAGACCTTTTCTTGCGCAGTCAGAGAAGAAAAGAAAACGCAGGTCGATCCTTTCATCCTCGAATCCCTTGCTTCTACCTCACAGATCTCCCCAGCAACCAAAAATAAAAAATAAAAAATCGTCGGATACTGTTCAGGTGAAGCTTTTTCCATCTCCCATGGAGTTCACCCACGGAAGAGGAGACAACAGGTTCTATAACGAAGAGGAAGACGAATTAGAAGATGATGACAGAGATGAACAGAACCCCCCCAGAGGAACGGATGCCGCAAGACTCTACCCTTTTATTCCCATCAGCTCCTCATCTCCCTCTTCCTCCTCTGCCATCTCCCTCAACTGTGAACCATCCACTTCAACTACTCCCGCTTCATCACTACCTCCGTCGACTACACAGGTTCAGAAGGAACATATGTTCGAGAAAGTCGTTACACCAAGCGACGTTGGCAAGCTTAACCGACTTGTGATCCCGAAGCAGCACGCAGAGAAGTACTTTCCTTTAGACGCTTCTACACACGACAGGGGGCTTCTCCTCAACTTCGAAGACCGCAACGGCAAGCCCTGGCGCTTCCGATACTCTTACTGGAACTCAAGCCAGAGCTACGTTATGACGAAGGGGTGGAGCCGTTTCGTCAAGGAGAAGCGCCTCGATGCCGGCGACACCGTTTCCTTCGGCCGCGGAACGGGTCAGACCGCTAGCCACCGTCTCTTTATTGACTGGAAACGACGGCCGGAGCCGCATCTTGACCTGCACAACTCCCATCGCATCCCCCACTTCCCTTCATCGGTACCCTCCTTCTCCCATCCTCACCCTTACCTCTCCTTCTCCCGCTCCGCCTCCGCCCCCTGGGCTGCCGGCCGCCTCTTCGTCCCAAACGCCACCCCGCCCCCAGCCTCCAATTACTTCTACTTCCGCTCCACCTCCGCCCTCGCAACCAGGCCCAACCCCGTCTCGACCGCCGGCGACCCTCCCGTTTCCATGGTGCTCGATTCCATCCCCGTGGCCCATGGAAAGGAGGCCGCCGGCGAGCCAAAGCGGGTCCGCCTCTTCGGCGTCAACCTTGAGCAGCCTTACGAAGGAATTGATAACACCGAGACTTCCGGCCTTCTCAGACTCCAGCTCCGCTCTCCATTTTCCTCTCAAGAGCTCCGCCTAGGAGGCCACGAGTCTTCCTCTTCTTCAGCTAAAGACAGCCACCATTCCCCACCATTTGATTTAGACATGTAATTATATATAGTTCTTGCAAATTGGATTATAGAGGATAATAATTCTTTCTCTCTTGCTTGTTTCCTTACCTTACTGTCAATTTCAATCCTACGAACTTCTACGAGTATTATTATCACTGTTTACGTATTCAACAGCGCAAATCCATTTTTTTTTTTTTTTTGTACATTTCGAACACTAATCTTCTTCTTGAAGTTGGCCGTGTTGAAAATTACACTTAATTTCGTCCGTTATTATTTGGGCTTTTGATTGAAGCTCATAATCTAGAGTAATCTATTTTAGAAGTCTCTAGAAAATTTGCTATAATTATTAGAATACTCTAGAGATATATTATTTTTTTTGGGACATTTAGGCCAATTAAGTCAAACTCACACACACAACGCATACACATAGACTCGAACCTTGGACCTCTTGGTTGGAAGCCTAAGCTCTCAACCAATAGGCCAAGGAGAGTTGTGTGCTAGAGATCTATTATAGAATAATTGTTAGAATAGTCTAGAATAAACATTTAATGTCATTTATGAGTAAAGATTAATGCATTTATGAGTGAAGATATGAGAATACTCTAAAGAGTGATTTGTTACAATTAGATTGAAATGTGTTGGTATAATCTTAACGGTGTACTACTAGTATAAATAGTGGTTGTGACTTTGAGTTGTATCAAGCCAAAATTTGAGAAATAAAATTTCCACTTTCTTTCTTTTGTTCTCTTTAGCCTTCTCTTATTTCAAAAGCCCTTTTTCATTCCAACAAAGTGGTATCAGAGCTAAGTTCTTTTCTAGAGATGGTGAATGGAGGTATGGCTTCCTTCCAAGTTCCATTGCTCAAGACGGTAGATTATGATAATTGGAGTATAAAGATGAAGGCACTTCTCGGAGGCCGGAGCGCATGACGTTTGGGATGTAAAGAAAGGCTACGATGAGTCAAGCGACGAGTCCGTTCTATTCTTAACACAAAAGGATAGTTTAAGATATTCAAGATAGAGAGACAAAAAGGCTCTCTTCCTCATCTATCAAGCGTTAGATGACGATGGATTTGAGAAAATCTCAAATGCTACATCAGCCAAACAAGCGTGGGAGAAGCTCCAAGTTTCGTACAAGGGAGAATAGAAGGTTAGAAAGGTACGTCTTCAAACCTTAAGAAGACAATTTGACGTCTTGTAAACAAAAGAAGGCGAGACGGTCTCTGATTATTTTTCAAGGTAACTTTTCATTTCTAATCAACTAAAAAGAAATGGTGAGAAGCTAGAAGATGTGACTATTATTGAGAAGATTATTCGATCGTTAGAATCAAGATTTGATAGTATCACAACTATCATCGAGGAGACAAAAGATCTACAAGAGATGACAATAGAGCAACTCTTTGGTTCATTGCAAGCTTACGAAGAAAGAAAGAAGATGAATGAAGGGATTACCAAGCAACTTCTCAAGCTAGATCTCAAATCAGCCAAGAAAGACGAAAGCTTTAACATCAATAATAAAAACTATCGTGGAAGAGGTCGTGGACAAGGACGAGGTCATGCAAATGAACAAGAAAGAGATTTTAACAACAATAATCAAGAAAGAGATTCAACAAGCAGGCGTAGAAAAGGACGTTCAAGCTCGAGGTACTAGAAATCTTAATTTAAGTGCTACAATTGTAATAAATTTGGGCACTTTGCTAAAGAATATAGAGTGCCAAAAAGTAAAGTGAACAAAAAGGTCAACTACGTAGAAGAAGAAAGAAAAGAAGACGACACATTATTGCCAGCTTACAAAAATAATGAAAGATGTGAAGATGGAACATGATACCTAGACAGTGGAGCAAGTAATCACATGTGCAAAAAAGGAGCATGTTCGTGGAGCTAGACGAAACGGTGGGCAGCAATGTATCATTCAGAGATGACTCAAAAATAGAAGTAAAAGGAAAATGTAACATCCTTATTCGCTTGAAGAACGTAAATCATCAATTTATTTCTAATGTCTATTTTGTACCAAATATGAGGAGTAATATTTTAAGCTTGGGATAACTTCCGGAGAAAAGATATAATATTCATTTAAAAAATTATTATCTTTTCTTAAAAGATAATATTGTTACTTTAATTGTGAAAGTGTCAATGTCAAGAAATAGAATGTCTTTGCTAAACATTCAAAATGATGTTGCCAAGTGTATCAAAGCTTGTTATAAAGATGCCTCTTGGTTATGACATCTTCGATTTGGTCATCTCTACTTTGGAGGATTGGAGCTGCTTTCAAAGAAAGAGATGGTGCGAGGTCTCCCTTGCATCAAACGCCCCGATCAAATATGTGAAGCATGTCTACTTGGGAAGCATTTTAAGAAAATTTTTCCAAGAGAATCAAGTTCGAGAGCTCGAAAGTCATTGGAACTCATACATACAGATGTTTGTGGACCAATAAAATCATGCTCACTCGGTAAGAGCAACTACTTTCTTCTCTTCATTGATGATTTCTTATGAAAAACATGGTTGTACTTTTTGAAGTAAAAATCAGAGGTGTTCGACGTATTCAAGAAATTCAAGGCAGCTGTCGAGAAAGAAAGTGGACTCAAGATCAAGGTTATGCGATCGGATCGAGGAGGAGAATTCACTTCAAAAAAATTCTAAGAATTTTATGATGTCAATGGGATACGACGATCTCTAATTGTCCTAAGGTCCCCTCAACAAAATGGGATGGCAGAAAGAAAGAACATAACCATCCTTTATATGGCGAGGAGTATGCTCAAAAGTAAGAGGCTACAAAAGAAATTTTGGGCAGAAGCGGTCTCCTGTGCAGTTTATTTGACTAATCGTTCACCAATAAGAAGTGTGTGGGGTATGACTCCACAAGAAACATGGAGAGGAAGAAAGCCCGGAATCTCTCACCTAAACATTTTTGGAAGCATAGCTCATGTGCACGTACCTGATATGAAAAGAAGTAAGTTAGATGATATAAGTGAGAAGTTCACTACATGAAAAACGTCAAACACCAACGATTTTTTTTCATCGGCTACAATAACAACTCAAAAGGATACAAACTATATAATCCAAATATTGGAAAGACAATTATCAGTCTAGACATTATATTCGATGAAGAAGGAGAATGGGACTGGGGATCATATGAGAAAGATTATAATTATGAAGATGAAGATATGGTGCAACCAAGAATGGAGCAAGCAAGAGAAGAGCCTACTACTCCACCAGCAACACCAACTACAGATAATCAAGAAAGCTTGAGTGAAAGAATACCACGGTTCAGGAGCTTAAGAGACATATATGAGGTAATAGAGAATCATGAAAATCTTATACTCTTTTGTCTCTTTGCATAATGTGAGCCCATGAATTTTCAAGAAGCCATACAAAATAAGGAGTGGAAAGATGCTATGGACGAAGAAATCAAGGCAATCGAGAAGAACGACACATAGGAGCTTGCTTCACTTCCTTACAGACACAAGGTAATTGGCGTGAAATGGGTGTACAAAGCAAAGAAGAATGCTAAATGAGAAATTCAAAGATACAAGGCGCCATTAGTGGCAAAAGGCTATAGTCAAAGAGCCGGCATCGACTATGATGAGGTATTTGCTCTTGTTGCTCGCTTAAAAATACTTAGACTAATCATCTCTTTGGAAGCTCAAAATAAATGAAAGATACATCAAATGGATGTAAAATCAACCTTCTTGAATGGAGTTCCTGAAGAAGAAGTATATATTCAACAACCTCTAGGATCGATACAAAGTCAAAGGACAAGCATACAAGATTTTGAAGCTAAAGAAGGCACTCTATGGGTTGAAACAAGCACCAAGAGCATGGAATAGTTGGATAGATAAGTACATGCAAGATAAAGGTTTTATAAAATGCCCTTATGAACATGCTCTTTACATCAAGAATAAGAATAAAGATGTTTTAATTGTTTGCTTGTACATTGAGGATTTAATCTTCACTTGAAATAATACAATGATGTTTGAAGAATTCAAACAAGCAATGACTAAGGAATTCGAGATGACAGATATTGGGCTCATGGCCTATTATTTGGGCATTGAAGTCCATTAAATGGAAGATGGAATATTTATCTCACAAGAAAGTTATGCAAAGGAGATGTTGCAGAAATTCAAGATGGATAATTGCAAACCTATAAATACTCCTATTGAATGTGGAGTTAAGCTATCAAAGCATGATGAAGGAGAAAGAGTCGATCCTACATTTTTCAAGAGCCTTGTTGGGAGCTTGCGCTACTTAACATGCATAAGGTCTAATATTCTCTATACTGTCAGACCTGTCAGTCATTATATGGAGACTCCAACCACGAGCCACTTAAAGACTGCTAAAAGAATCACATGCTATATCAAAGGCACAATTAATTTTGGCTTACTCTATTCATCATCTAACAATTTTAGACTTGTAGGATATAGCAACAGTGATTGGGCTGGCAATATGGATGATAGAAAGAGCACCACTGGTTATGTGTTCTTCATGGGAGATACAACTTTCACTGGATGTTAAAGAAACAACCAATTGTCAATCTCTCTAATTGTGAAGCAGAGTATGTAGCTGCAACATCTTGTGTTTGTCATGCAATTTGGCTTCAAAATTTGTTAAAAGAGTTAAGCTTACCTCAAGAAGAAGCAACGAAGATTCATGTTGATAATAAGTTCGCAATAGCATTAGCAAAAAATTTAGTTTTTCATGATAGAAGCAAGCACATTGATACACACTATCACTATACCAGAGAATGCATTACAAGGAAGGAAGTGCAAGCGGAATATGTGAAGTCACAAGACCAGATTACTGACATCTTCACCAAGCCACTAAACCCTAAAGTATGAAGACTACATCAAGATGAGAAATTTTCTTGGAGTCACAAAATTAAGTTTAAGGGGGAATGTTGGAAATTAAACTTAATTTGGCCCGTTATTACTTGGGCTTTTGATTGAAGCCCATAATCTAGATTAATCTATTTTAGAAGTCTCTAGAAAATCTGCTATAATTATTAGAATACTCTAGAGATCTATTATAGAGTAATTGTTAGAATAGTCTAGAATAGGCATTTAATGTCATTTATGAGTAAAGGTTAATGCATTTATGAGTTAAGATATGAGAATACTCTAGAGAGTGATTTGTTACCATTAGATTGAAACGTGTTGACATAATTTTAACG